AAAGACTCGCAGAGCATAGCAACCGCCCTGGGCGGGCCTATGGTCCATAACAACCAGTTGACCAATCAACACAGGGCAAACCCTCCTATAAGATCTCTATACAGTGGCTTCGCAGTGTCTTTCCCTGCCATCAGCCATGGTGGGTGGATGAAAGGCCCGAGCTAACATGGGGTTAGCCTCTTGCAGTTTGCATCAAGCTTTCGACTCCACCTGGTGATTGGGGTTGCCGCAGTCCTGGGCAGAGATCCTGGGGGTCTGAGCCTCGGGGGTCTTTCAACCTCAAAAGAGTTAAGCGCAGACTCTGCGCCTCTGTTTCCAGTTCATGTGTGAGGAGGATGCACAGACTCTTCCTGGCTCAAGGATCCAAGAGAGTGGATTAGAGGAGTGGCCCTGGTGCCAGGTGGAGAGAGGTCCCAGGCACCTCAGGGTAGCCGAGGCCCCAGTGAACTGTTTGTCCCTTTGATTGCCAGCATCAGTGGAAGTAATAGGGTTCCCAGGTGTACCCCTCTGCCCTAGGCCCCCTCCAGATTCCAGACTAGACACCCGGAGCAGTGGTTGCCCTGTGTCCAGCTCAAGTACACAACACCCTCTGCTGGACATATCAGGAACAGCTAGGAATCACTGGGTTTTGGACATTTTAATATTATTATTAATTTCTAGTCAGCACACAAAATAGCTGGAGAAATAGCTCAGCAGCTAAAGGCACTTGGTGCTCTTTCTGAGGACCCAGGTTTGGATTCCAGCACCCACATGATGGCTCACCACCTTCCATAACTCCAGTTCCACACACATGATGAACAGACACACATACAGGCAAAATACTTACATGCATAAAATAAAAATAAATAACGCTTTAAAAGTCAGCACATAAAGTTATGGGTTTTGTTATGGCATTTTCATACATTATTTGAAAAGGTGAATTAAGGGGGAAAGTTTCAGGCACAGGATCCCAGTCTTTGCCATATTTGACCCCTGCCTCCTTTGAGGGGAGAGGGAAGGGTGGGAGTACAGAGGAGCCACTGTCTTTTTTAGTTTTGGTAGATGGGACCAAGACCACAGACCAAAACAGGCTATGTATATCTTCTTTTTTTCTTATCTATCCACACACTCACTCCTCCACTCATCCATCCACCCATCATCCACCCATCATCCATCCACCCATCATCCACCCATCATCCATTCACCCATCATCCACCCATCATCCACCCATCATCCACCCATCATCCATCCACCCATCCATCCACCCATCATCCATCCATTCATCCATCCATCCACAATTATTCCCCACTCAAGGGATTTGAGCACCAAGCCATGAAGAGAAGGGACAGAGTGCACAGCTCACAGTCCCTCTGTGTCACAAGGGGGAGCTTGGCTGTCACTTAGTCACAGTCACAAATTGATATAGAATGAACTAGAGGGTCCAGAAAGTGCTGCCTGAGAGTCATAAAGCTTCTGACATGGAAGGAGACAGGAAGGACAGGGATGCACCAAAGGACAATGTCCCTGATGATATGCATAACCACATGAGCAAGAAAGAGCTGGGTCTCAGGGACCATCAGCGGTCATGTGTCCTTGCACACCCATGCCCCTGTTCTGCTTTAATAAAAACAACAGCAACACCACACACACACACACACACACACACACACACCTCATATAGCCCAGGCTAGCCATGAACTCCTATGTACACCAGGCTGGCCTCGAACTCTTAAACTCTTGATCTTCCTGTCACCACCTCCCAAATACTGAGGAATGGATGTACCTATCATGCCCAGCTTTCTTTCCAGTTTTGTTAAGTTTTTATTTTATTTATTTTTGTGGATGTGGGGTGAGGGGCATGCACATGCCACAGCGCACATTAGAAGGCTAGAGGACAAGCAGGAGTCAGTCAGCTTTCTCCTTCCACCGTGTGGCTCTCAGGGGTTGAACTCAGATCATCAGGTTTGGTGGCAAGTACGTTCACATGCTGAGCCGTCTCCCCAGCCCATGCTTTTTACCAAGTTCTCTAAAAGTGTGTGCTATATATTTCATGTATTTTTAATTACATTCAACTCAGAGAAAGACACATACACACACACACACAAAGAGAGAGAGAGAGAGAGAGAGAGAGAGAGAGAGAGAGAGGGAGAGAGAGAGAGAGAGATCCTGCTTGTGAAAGAAAATATGCAGTATTTGTCTTTCTGTATCTGTTTTACTTTGCTTAGCCTTATGATCTCTCTGCAAGTGGCACTCTTTTTGATGGCTAAATAATACTCCATTGTGTATCTAGACCCCTTTCTTTCTGCTTGCTATTATCCCTGTCCTTGCTGGCCAGGGCCTGACCTTCCTCCCTTCTCTGGATAGGTCCTCTTGCTGGAAGCAGCTGAGCAGTCTTCAGGCCCAGACAATGACCTGCCACCCCCGCAGAGTACCCCACCAACCTGGAATGAGGACTTCCTGCCAGATGCCATTCCCATTGCTCATCCAGGGCCCCGAAGGAGAAGACCCACAGGTCCAGCTGGTGAGCAGGGCCCACAGGGGAGGGATCCAGCCAGGGAATGAGGTCAGAGCTGGTGCCTAGAGCCTCCACACAGGCCACACCCTGGCCTCCTGGGTCTAATTTGCTCATGTGGTGTGTTGAAACTTGAACTAATTACAAAAAAAAAAAAAAAAACAAAAAAAACAAAAAAAACGTGGATTAAGCATAACATCAGAATTTCTCATTCTCCTTTAGAACAGTGAAAGACCTGGCCAGGACTGGGGGCATAGGTCTGTGATCCTAGGTACCTGGGAGGCTAAAACAGGAGGATTATAAGTTTAAGGTTGCCCTGAGCCAAGGAGTGAATTTAAGATCAGTCTGGGCAACTTAGCAAAACACTACCCTGTCTCAAAAAGTATAAAAAGGGCTAGGGGTGTGGCTCAGTGGTAGAGCCCCTGCCTAGAATCCCCCAGTGAGGGGCTGGGTGTGTGACTCAGAGGTAGAGCACTGCTCACTATGTGTGAGGTCCTGAGTTCATCCCCAAGGATGGCAATAAATAAAAACGAAGAAGAGAGACCTGGAAGCATTCAGCTTTTCCTAAGACACATGGGGCCCTATAGATTCATTCTGAGCTCTGTTGTCCAACTCCTAATCCTCCTGCTTCAGCCTTCTGGAATTGTGTGCTGGAATTGTAGGCCCGGGTCACCATCGCTGGCTCCTTGTCAAGAGCAAAAATAAAATGTCCTTTCTCTAGACCCTCCCTGGAGGCCCAGGCTTTGCAGTGGACTGCTGGATGGTGCTGTCAGTTGTAACCAACACAGTTGCATTTGTCAGTGTCTGCTTCTCCTAGTGTCGTTCCGGCTGCTTGATGAACTGCTTTGAAGTAAAAGCAGCTTAGGGACTGTAAGGGTTTACTTCCACTTACAGATCTGTCCATTATCGAGGGAAGTCAGGGAAGGAAGGTGAGCAAAAACCAGGAAGGAACTTTTGCTTGCTGGCTCACTTACCTAGCTTTCATACACAGACCAGGACCACCTCACAGTGCACTGGGGCCTCCTGCAACAACTGACCATCAAGACAACTCACCCACAGACTTGCCCCAGGCCAATCTGAACAGGAGTGTCAGGTGACTCAGGGATGTCAAGTTGACAATTAAAGTTAAATAGGACACCTGGCTGCAGGCTGTCTACTGTAGTGGTGGTGGTGTCTGTGTGGGGAGGGTGATTAACTAGAAGGTCAACAGGGTCACTATCTCCACTGTGTTAGTCACTAGATATTTTTGTAAGTTCGAGTGTGTGTGTGTGTGTGTGTGTGTGTGTGTGTGTGTGTGTGTGTGTGCGTGCGCGCGCGCTCCTGTCCCCACCCAAGGTCCATAGAAGGATGTCAGGTGTCCTTCTTTGTCGATCTCCACCTTATTCCCTTGAGACAGGATCTCTCACTGAACCTGGATCTAGGCTGGAGGCCCATAAGAAAACATGATCCTCTTGTCTTTGCCACCCCACTCCTCTATTGCTGGGGTCACAGAAGCAGGCAGCCATGCCTGGCCAAGTGTCATTTCCAACCTTTTATCAAAGTGTGTGAACAGCAGAGTTACAGAGGTATCAACTAAAGCTCAGAGAAGTTAGGTCACCCAGTTTGCTGGTGATCCATAGCCCCAAAAGAGCCTGGGTTGCCAGAGCCCGGCTTGTATCAGTCCCACGCTACAGAGGCCAATTGCTCCGGACTGATGTCTTCGGTGCTGTAATCAGAGCCATCCGAATAGCCTCGGGTCCATACCTGAGTTGGGGGTGCATGGACCTGGGGAAACGGCATTAAGGACGAGACACAGGCATCTTGTCATTTCAGGAGAGCTCTCAGTCCACGCTGGAAACTGGAGTCTTCTGGTTTATTGGGGGGGGGGTGCAGAAGACATCTACCATCATGTATAAAGCTGATATCAAAAACTTCTTTTAACCCTAGCGGCACACCTAAACAGTCCCTGGGAGCATAAACAAAACCCTGAGAACAGGTGCAGGCACATCCAGGGCCTAGGTCTGTTGTTATGCAAACTAGGAGACCTTCCCCACTGAGGCCAAGCCATCCGATGGTAATTAGCTGGACATCTGAAAGACAATGAATGGGAGATTCGAGCTCCTGGGATAGAGTTTGAGGCCTGTATCTGAAATACCATAATTGATATTTTTCGGGCCCCGACACTGGGTACATGCTTTGCTCCCCTCTTTCTCCTCTCCAAGAGAAACTCAGGATTCCTCTATGAGTCCATTTATCCCACGTCCCCAAGGACACAGGCTCCAACCTACTTCTTGGGTTGCCTCAAAAAACTCACTGATGCTCTTGGCTGGAACATTATCAGAGAACGTGAAGTTCCAGCAATGGCCAGCAGGTGGCAGACACACCCCACTAATGGTGACTCCTGGGTTTCCTGCCTCCCAGGCCTGGGGAATTGCCCAGCAAGAGGTACTTTTCAGAACACCCCTGCCCCCATGGGGTCCAACTCTTCTTCACATACTAGGGTCACATGCAATTTAAATGCCAAGATTCATGCACAGTCCTCAGTTGACTTAACTGTGAGACAAATTTCCACTATGTCACCAGACGGTCCTTGAACTTCTGATCTTCTTGCCTCTGCTTCTTCTTCTTCTTCTTCTTCTTCTTCTTCTTCTTCTTCTTCTTCTTCTTCTTCTTCTTCTTCTTCTTCTTCTTCTTCTTCTTCTTCTGTTTTTCGAGACAGGGTTTCTCTGTGTAGCTTTGGAGCCTGTCCTGGCACTCGCTCTGTAGACCAGGCTGGCCTCGAACTCACAGAGATCCACCTGCCCTGCCTCCCAAGTGCTGGGATTAAAGGCCTGCACCACCAACGCCTGGCTTTGCCTCAGTTTCTTGAGTGCTGGGGATAACTGGACCTGTGCTAAGGTTGTTCTCAGGCCTCTCAAACATTTCAGGGGGATAGTGGTTCAAGGGGGGCGAACTGACCCTGCAGACCTGAGCTTGGGCTCAGCTGCCACATGTACTGGACCTTAAGCAAGAAGACAGCAGGAAGAAAGAATTAGAAGTGAGAAAGCAAGCTACAGCCTGACTCTGTGGCCTGGAGCAGGAGTCCGTTGTAAGAACCCCTGGAAGCTCAGGCCTCCAGAATCTTTTCCCAGGACCGAGACCACCCCAATCACCATGAGGAAGCAGAAACTTGATGCAAACAGCAAGAGGCTTTAATGAAAGGTGGACGTTTGTACAAACGGGCTCTCTCAGCATGCAGGCTAGAGAGCAGCCCCATCCCCCAGGCACAGGCATTTTTAAAGGCAAAAACCACATGCTTAGGAGGGGTGTGACCAGAGTCATGGGTTCCTAGGAGGCCCTTTGTCTTGAGGAGAGGTCTGGGAATCAGATGGCCTCCTGACCCACCAGTTGTAAAACCTGCGGACCTCAGGATATGCTTATCTTGCTTGAGCAAATGGTAGCTATCTCTTTGTTTCATA